AATTTGAAGGTGCACCTTACCTTTATAGCTACGGATGCATCTGTATGCTAACCGCACCCTTTTAATATAATATTAAAAAAAACTAGAGATAGAGAAGAAATAAACGTAAAAAGAATTAGAGAGATGAAAGAAAAAAATATTAAAAAGAATTAGAGAGATGAAAGAGAAAAATATTAAAAAGAATTAGAAAAAAAGAAGAGATAAACATAAAAGGAATTAGAGAGATGAAAGAGATAAATATAAACATGAGAAAAGGGTTTACGGTATTTGGAGGGCCGTATAACAAAGGTGGGTTTTTACTGTACTTAAAACCACATATAACAGGGGTAGGTTTACCGTGAAAGTTATTTTGGTAAAAACAAAATACCCAAAATTGAACAAAAAGGGTGGGGACAAGGTTTATGAAAGTTAAGGATTTTTTTCTATATCGACGAAAATTAAGGTATATTTGTGATAATTTCCTCTCTTACTTTCATTTGTTTTGTTTTTTTTTTTTTTTTGTATACTAGTAGGGTTTTGGTGGTTGCATAATGAAATTGTTTGTTTTCATCATCTTGGTCATGGAAGTAAACGGGTAACATAAGAGGAGAGAGAGAGGAGCATTGAATGATGTATACGTATACAAACAAGTGATTGTTAGATAATTTTGTATTGTTTAGTTTACGTTAATTTTGATCCAATTTCAATAGGGTTTGTGGGTCATAAGAAATTTAATTCACATATAAATTAGGAACATTTACTTTCCATTTCATGTACAAATTTTTTGCATGAATGTACCGCATATATTAGAGTTATGTCTTAGCAATAAGTTCTTACTCAAATTTGAATCAAAGGTACATATTTTTTGCATGAATGTACCACAAATTTGGATTAAGGGGTTTTTTATTTTTTCATTCTCTTAAATTTTTTATTTTTATTGTTTATTAGTAATGAATGGATATAGTCTCAATTGTTTTATTTTGTTTGTATATTATGTTCCATTTATGTTGTGAGTTGTTATTGCTATCCCATAAAATGGGCTGAATATCACACAAAAAAAAAAATACTAAAGATAATAAAAAGTTTGTTTATTTGATTCTTTTTTTTCATTGCATTTGGTTTGGTAGATTAAAGTGTTGATTAAAGTCTTAATTCTTAATATAATGAACATACAAATTCAAGTGAGTATGATTGTGATGTGAGGTTTCTATGAGTTAAGGCCCTTATAAAATTATTATAGGTTTCTTATGACACTAACTGCGATTGTTTGAATATGTAAATGTAGGCAAAACAAGCAACTATCTGATAACGTGATACTCCACTCTTTTTTTTGATCGGTAGATATTTCCATATACTTTGACACATCTATTGTGTTCTAAGTCTAATTGATCCATATCTCCTATAATAAAAATAATATTCTGATGGGTTGATGTGAGTATGGGAAAGTAGTTGGTTTTAATGGTAAAAAGCCCAGCACCTAGCCATTTTTGCATCCTTT